CCCTGGCTTTGCCTTTGCCTTACAACTTGTGGCACCAGTGAGGGGCTGTTGGAATAGACTGAAATTACCAAGAATATTTGTTCTCTGTCACTTTCTCTTGATCCAGACCTGTGCAGTGAAGAAGGGAGAGGGATGATGGCTGAAAAACAGAAGTACTCTTGAGTCCTGTGAAGTGCAGACTCATCCTTGTGTCTTGTGGGTTTATTTTCATGGTTAGAGAAAGGTACAAGTGTTGTGCTTCCACTAAAATGCACCTCTAAGCAAAACACATTCAATAACATAAATAATGAAACACTATAAACAAATAACAAATAAAACAGCCTAATAGCAGAGGATGTAGGACCCTTGTACTGCATTAAAATAGATCAAGTCGGAAGTGACTGAATGATGCTTTGTCAGGAAGAGGGATATCAATATTGTGAGGCAAGCTGTAGCAACTCAAGATACCACAGACTGCCAAGGCCTGTTTTAAGACTGTGTTTTAAGTGGTGTGGGGAAAGTTATATTGAGGACACTCCTAAGCTGCTCTCAAAATGGTCCTGTGCCATCTGCAGCATATCCTACTGGTTATTTTCATTGATGGACACTGCTGAAGTTTCTTTTTTAGTATTGTCTTGCATCCATTAGGTGATACTCCCTGGGAATGGCTTGCCAAAGGATGTTCAGTTTTGCATCAGTCCAGCCACCTTTCACCACATTCAAATACATTTTTCTGCAGGGATGGCACAGTGCTGTGTAGGTGACCTCTTCAGCCTCTCTGGGCTGCAGCTTCATCAGTGTGAAAGCAGTTCCACCTCTGACTTTGGTGGGAAAACATTTTCCCCAAAGATCCAGGTCAAACTGCTATTATTGAAAGGCTCCTGTTGACACAATGGCTGGCATCATGTTTGGGACTTGGTGTAATTTTTGAGTGTCCCTGCACAGCCCTACTCTAGCAGGCCAAATTTTGTGTTACGTGAGAAGGGCAGGTGACAAGGGGAGAAGATAACAAGACAGGTTCAATAAAATTAAATCTAAGTTAATTCCTTTGTACATTCCTTTGTGCTGTGAGGAGCGTTTTCTTAACTATTTTCAATGAGGTAAGGTGTGCTTAATATTTTTTCTGATCTTGAAGTTGACCTAGGAAGTTAAATTCCAGAAGCAG